TATTTAAAAAAAATAGTAATCTTCTAATTATTCCCAGTAATATTACTATTTATTATTATTAAATGATACTGCTGGTAACGAAGAACGCGAGTTTGTTCTCGATTCGAAATTCAAATTGGCGGCTAGCAAATTGATCAACCAATCAGAGGACTCGTCTCTATCTATCGAGTAGCAGGCATTATTTTTTGTTCAAATTCGCAATAAAACTCTCTTTTATGTTGAAATTTAAACACCAAAGCTTTTCTAGTATTATGCTACCTTTTTAAATACTGCATTTATTCGGATAATGTACGATTTTCGAGCAATTAACATGCACTCGCGACGTCCGTCAGTGGGCGACCTCAATTTGAGCTTTTCCTTGAATGATCGATAGATTTTGTCGAGTTCTTGTAGTGGTTGATCAATTGCACTATTTCATTTTGACGTCAAAAAATCATTCAAAACATCAAAACATTCTATTGTTTTAATATGGTAAGAATTATGGTCTCAGAGGGGGTCAGATTGACGGCATATCAAATATAAAATGTAAATGAGCAATCTTTGATACATAACATTTATATCAAAACTTCATTCATCGGACGTTCTACCTTCGAAGAGAATATTATTTGGTTTAAATATCCACTGTTTTTGAGCATCTTTCTCCGATGTAAACATAGTGTAACGTCATAATGAAATAGGGCAATTCACCGGCTGTCATTTTGAATTTGTAATCTAATCAAAGCCGGCTATTACACCCCGTTGACTTATTATGCAATGTCATTTGCAAAAAAGGTGGACCAGGAAAACGAGGAAAAGAAGATTACAACTTAAATTTTTGTTGGTTCACGAGGTTGTCTAAAGCGCTATTCGCAGGAAAGCGCCCTAATTTCAAACAAAGTATTCGAGTAATTCAAATATTTGAATCTGAATTTTTGAAAAAAAAAATTGAATTTCAAATATTTCAGAGAAAAGTTCTGTTTAGTGGTGTTCGAGAACCAGGCATTTTTCTGAACAAAAACAAAACGAAATAACATTAAATTATTTTTGTCCTCATTTTAGGATATTACGCTTATATACAGAACTCGTATTATCGTGAGGGGAAGATYGCTCAAATGATAAGCCCTGAAATAATTGGCAAACAATGCGTGGAGTTTTATTACTACATGGGAAGCAGCAATGGAAATGGTGAACTAAACGTTTATATCGACGACGGAGTCAAGACCGTCATATCATGGCAACTAAAAGGTTATCAAGCGTCGAAGTGGTTGAAGGGAATGTTGCCCGTAAAAGGAAATTTGACATCTTTCAAGGTGCGTCCTTAATTCTTGATTACGATATGGTCTTGTGATGCTTGTTTCTTCAGCCTTGATACATTGAAGGCATGACCGAAGACCGCTTTCATATCAGAGCTTCAGAGGCGGGGTTTTTCAATTGGTCTTACGTTTTAAAGATTAGCAAGGCAACCCTACTCCTTTAAGGTTCTCCCTACACTGTTCGGGATTCTCTAGGAATCAAATCTTCTCGGTCAAGAGAAGACATCCGGAAAGGTGGAAAGAATGCCGCCGGCTTTACGGAAACCCGCTTTTCCATCTAGAGCGCTCTTGGCTACATTTTAATAGTCATCAGATTCTAAGCTTATATTTATGATCTGATTGRCATTTAAGGTCATCTTCGAAGGTGTCGGAGGAACGAGCAGCTATGGTACAGGCATTGCACTGGACGACATTCAAGTACTTTCSACTCCATGTGCTCTTACTCCACCTAATGCTACTGTGACGCCGTTTAACATCAGTGGCSTCAATTACAGTAAGAACCATGAAAATATCTTGATTTATCAWATAGCTATCTATGAAATACCTRYATTTCTCCATTTAGTAAAATTGATATTTTCACTAGTGGAAACTAGCTAATTCACTTGTTATTTTTCATTTTAGAAGATTTAATTGTTTAATAAAAACATGTACGAGAATTGAATTTTCCTAAAAAGGGGGGGGGGGATCAATATATAAATAACAAAACGTTTTTTATTGATAAAAATTCGCACTAATTAAATGTGCATAAATTATATCTGATGTCGTCTGACATCGTTTGGCAAGTGAATATCAATTCACTACACGCTGGTGTAAGCTGGTTAGTGTGAAGAAAACTAAAATGGTCCTTAACACGATTTGACGCAAAGTATTTCTAAAAGAAAATCAAAGCTGTTAGTAGCTTTTCTCTAGTTGAGGGTCATTAAAAATAGAGCCCGAGTAGCGTAGCCAATCAGAATGTAGGATTTTCAATAGTCCATTAGTATGGTAATACTAAATTTCAGATAGCTGCCTTAAAAATGCAAGCCATTAAACACTATTTATTCTATTCTAGCCGTTCGACTTGTCGGAGGCCAAGCACAATCTGCAGGGAGAGTTGAAGTTTTCTACAAGGGCAGATGGGGTTCAGTATGTGGTTATAATTTCCCTTTGTCTTCTGGAAGAGTTGTTTGCAGGCAACGTGGTTACCCCGACGTGTTAATGGTGGTGCCATGCTGTAGTTTGTT